GAAAGAGAAGAAGGGGAAAGAAGGACATGGGGGAAAGAAGGAAATGGGGGGGAGGGAGCCGAAGCTCCCACCCCCATCGAGCGCTCGATTGGAAGTGTTTTAGAGAGAAGGGGGAGGGTTTTTTAGAGAGAAGGGGGAGGGTTTTTTAAGTTAGTGAAAGTAATACTAGTGGGTGGTTATATGTAAGTTTGTGAGTGATATGGTGCAAGATGTGATCCTTAATTCTAGGGTTAGATGATGTATATTATTTACTATTTGAATTCTATACACTGAAGAACTGAGGATGTCGATGAATTATATATTTCTACAACTTTTAAGTTGTATTGGAGTGTAGGTTCCTCGAAAACCTAGATATGGAGGTCAAGGCTCCATCGAACGAGCCTGTTTCTTCTTCTAATTTTCTTATTAAATGCGAGAATGTATCAAGCGGTATCAGTGATGGGCAACAAAGCAAGGACCAGATCCTTGCAATGGAGAATTCGAAAGTTTCGTTTTAAAGGGAGACATATAAGGACTTAATATAATATGCTGGAATTTATTTGTCTACTTTCTTTGAACATGTGCTCTAAATCTGTTAATAACAGCAAATATGTTCTCCTATTTGTGTTGTTCGTGACCACGTGTGTAATTTTGTTTTCTTCTCGAAGTAGCTTCTATCTTCTGAACTTAATTATGACTAATCCGATTTTAATTAGTCAAAACACTGTCATATCTTTATTTTACATGGAATTAGCATTTTTTAATAGGATTAGAAATATTTCCATCAACTTAAATCAACATTCCAATCAAAATTCTACGTCTAGCTATAAAATTCATACAGATCCAGAATCTTACATTGGACTTCAGGAAAGGTTAGAAATGGTACGCAAATCCTTCAGTTTGAACATATGCATCTTAAATTCACTTTTAAATAAGAAGTATTTTGCATTTTCTTCTGCGTACACTTGCACACACTTGATCTTTCCCTGAATAAGTGCAACTAAACGGGGTAAGTGGACTGATGTCCTAACTTGCTCCTCTTGGTATTCCACAGGGTTTGCAAGATTTTAAATGGCACTAGAGTAGGAAAAGGAGAAAAAGGGGTGTGTGTGAAACGTGGAATCCAGACATTGTTATTGCA